CCTTGAGACAACCCAGTGTAAAGAATGGAGAGTTTCCAGCTTGGAACCTCCTAGAAGCCAGGAGGGCCTTCAGAGGCTGATTACTACAAGACCCCCACTCATCTCCGAGAGGGACAGGGAGTGACCTCATGCCCCTCACGCTTAGTACCTTAGTCATAGCAGTTTTCTCCCTCCCAGTCCAGCCTGTCCCTTTGCAGGGGCCGTTTCTGGCTTCTGTGGCCCTAGAACAGCAGGCCCAGGGAAAGCCACTGGGGACAAGGACTCGCTTAGGGGTCAGTAGCTTGAGATGCCAGTATGAGCATGAGCTCTCTGGCAATGGTGGAGCCAGAGGGACCTTTATAGATCTAGGACTTCATTTGTGGGTCTCGTGGATATGTGGTGGGTCAGCGGGCAGGTGTGGGCCAGACAGCGTAATGCCCTGATTTTCACCTTCACATCCATTCCAGGAGGCCTACTTCAAGAAGCACAAGTTCAACACGGTTCCAGGTGTCCAGCTGAGGAACGTGGACAGGTGGGGGCTGGGGACGGCCAAGGGGAGGATATTTAGGTGCCTTGATAACCAGTGCCTGACAGGCCCTACTAGCCCTGCGGTCTGTGTGTTTACCCCAGTCCTGCTGCCCCCCAATCTCCATGTCATCCCTTGAGGGGCTACTCCCTCCCCTGACCCATTTCTCCCTCTCCTTTAGTCTGAAGAAAGAAGCGTATGAAGTGGAAGTTCACAGGCTGCTCAGGTATGGCCTAGGGCAGTGGGGTATGAGGCAGGGGGTAAGAAGTCAATACTGGGAGTCTTGGCCCCATAATTTGTGGGGCCCACTGCAAAATGAAAACCAGGGTCCTTTGTTCAAACATTATTAAGTGGGACTTCCCTGGCAGTCCGGTGGTTAAGACTCCACACTCCCAATGCAGGGGGCACGGGTTTGATCCCTGGTTGGGGAACTAAGATCTCATGTGCCGCGGCCAAAAAACGCCAAAAAACAAATGTTAAGAATTCCAAGATGGCCGTAGTAGAGCATTAAAAGCACAGGGCCTGTGTGACACACTCATGAGGTGGGCCCCTTCTTGGCCTTTCTCCCCCACTCCCTGCTGCAGTGAAGCTGAGGTTCTGGACCACAGCAAGAACCCTTGTGAAGACTCTTTCCTGCCAGACACAGAGGGCCACACCTATGTGGCCTTTATCCGAATGGAGAAGGATGATGACTTCACCACCTGGACCCGGCTTGCCAAGGTGCCTCAACACCACACCTACCCCAGGAATACCCCTCCCCGAGATACAAGGAGCCTTTCTGGAATCGTCCACCTCAGAGCCTTCTCTTCATACTCTCAGAGCCTCTCTTCTAAGCCCCTTTACAAATCCATATTCTTGAAGATGCTGCCTCCTGCAAACTGAGGAGGCTTCTGAGGAGAGGGGGGTGGCCAAGGGCCCTCCCCACAGCTCTCCGACTCTTGCCTTTGCCCCACCCCACCCCCACCAGTGCCTCCATATCTGGGACCTGGATGTGCGTGGCAACCACCGGGGCCTGTGGAGATTGTTTCGGAAGAGGAACCACTTTCTGGTGGTGGGGGTCCCAGCCTCCCCCTACTCGTGAGTGACTCTATTCTGTCCTTGGAAATGGAAGACTAGTGGGGTTAGGGGACGTAGCTAACGACCTCCTCCCTATTCGTTTTCCTGTTATCTTCCCAGAATGAAGAAGCCGCCATCAATCACCCCAATTTTCTTGGAGCCACCCCCAAAGGAGGAGGGAGCCCCAGGAGCTGCAGAACAGACATGAGACCTCCTCCAGGACCCTGTAGGGCTGGGTACTGTGTACCCCCAGGCAGGCTAGCCCTTCACCCAATCCTGTAGGATTTTGTAGACACTCTCAGGGGCTGGGGCTGGTTTGTTTTTAACATGAGACTTAATTACTAACTCCCAGGGGAGGGTTCCCCTGCTCCAACATCCCTGTTCCTGAGTTGGAGGTCTATTTATTTACTTCCTTGTCGGGAAAGGGCAGGATGGTACCTGGGAATCTTTGGGATCCCTGGGCAGCTGATCCTACCCTTTGTATACTCCCTCCTCCCAGGCCTGGCTTAGAATCTAACCTATTTATTGACTGTCCTGAGGGCCTTGGAAACCGGCAGAAGCCTGTAGGGCCTTGATTTTTTTTTTTGGACTGGGGTGCTGCCCTGAGGGTGGGGCAGGCTCTTACTCAGGAAACTGCTGTGCCCAACCCATGGACAGGCCCAGCAGGGGCCCACCTGCTGATGCAGACTCACTCAGAGACCCTCAGACACTGAACCAGGCCTCTTCTCAGCCTCCTCTTTGTCCAGATTTCCAAAGCTGGATGAGGTGGTCATTGATTAAAAAAGGAGAAAAGCTCTGGGGATTGTCTTCTGACTCTGTGTGTGTGTGTGTGTGTGTGTGTGTGTGTGTGTGTGTGAGAGAGAGAGAGAGTGAGAGAGACAGAGACAGAGACAGAGACAGAGAAAGAGAGAGAGATGGGTGGGAGAGAGGATGGTCATGATGGATGATGAGTTTTCTTTACTGTCCTCCACAGGTTTATCTTCCATTTGGGGCCATTTGGCCAGCAGGGGATGCCCAAGTCTCAAACTCCAATATTTTTACCCTAGAACAACAGAGCCTGACCTTTGCCCCACCCTACTTGGGGCTGAGCTCAGAGCGGCCACTCTATACCCCATTCCCACTGCTTAATTAACCATCAGGCTGTTTTCTGCCTAGCTCATGTCTGGGCCAGGGCACCTGTCCCAAAAAATGGAGCAAGAGAGAGCAAAAAGGGATACCTGGGGATGGGGGGATGACAGAGAGCAGGTGAGTATAGTGGAGGTGGGAAGGAAGTGGATGAGACAGAGCTGAATGGGCATCATTCAGGAAGTGAGGACTGGGCTGCAGGTGGAGACACAGGAACAAGGATGTCTGTGGTCCTTAGGGTACTTTGTATGTAGACTTCATATCTGGGCATTTTTCTGGAGAAAAGCCATCATTTTCATCAGATCACCCAACCAGTGATCCAAAGAAGTCAGGAAGATCTAAGTTAGCCACGCTAGCACGAGAAGATGGATGAGATTGTCCAGAGGAAGTGGTTGAGATAGCCCAAGGCAGAGGGCATGACATTTAAGGAATCTGTGAAGGACTTAGGTTCAATAGAGTAAGTGTAGGACACTTGGAGAAGGGGCCTGCATGCAGAGCCCTTGCAAAGTGAGCCTCATGAGCTCCTTATATAGAACCTTGGCCAGGGAGGCAGGAGCTGGCTGGAACTCTGCCCTGTCACCAGCTCTCTGCCCTTGCCTCTCCAAGCGGTGCCTGGAGCCCCCCTCGGCGATGGCACAGGTGGTATGTGGCTTCAGTGTTTGCTGGAGGTAGAGATAGCGCTTGATTCAGTGTTTGCTGGCGGTAGAGATAGCGCTTGAGGTGCCACAGCAGCCAGGTGGAGGAACAATTAGCTCATAATGAGGTGGAGGAGGCCCACCCAGGGCAGACAAATCCCTTGCAGCCTCTATATAGGTGCCTGGGGGTGGGGTAGTGTGAGAGGCATAGAAAGGTGGAAAGGTGGGAGGGGGCTAAGTGCTCTACCTGCCCATCCTCCCAGCAGGCTGCTGATCTGGGCCTCACAGACCAACTCTCAGGCACTGCATTGCACTGGCTAGGTCGCAGTTCCTTTTTGGATTCACGAGGGGTGATGGATCTGGGTTGCCCTAGTAAAACCTGGGAAGAGGAATCCAGGGCTCAGAGGCAAGCAAGGAGGACTGGTTTGCCAGGCTGGGCTTTGCTTGGTAGTAGACACCATATCCTCTGGCCACAGCCTCCCACCCTAGTGCTATGTCTCCTGCAGCAGCAGTCAGATCTATGTCTGGGACATTCTGGCCTAAAAGTAAATCATGTTCCCGTGTCAGCCAGGATCCCACCCGGCTCTGGAGTCAGATGTCCTGGACCCACATCCAGGCTCAGCTCTTCATGGGAGGTTGTGGGCCTGGAACAAGTCACTTGGCCTTTCTAGGCCCAGTTTCTGGAACATGGGGGTGGTTAAGACTCGATAAGAGATCAAATCTATAGACCCCTGGGCAACCAAGATGGAGAGTAAATGAAATTCTTTATGAAATCCCCAAAGCAGTGACAGGTGGGGGCTGTGCCTGCATGAGAAGGGTAGGCAGCTTGGGTCCCCTGATGGGGGCTTCTGGAGGGCTTCCCAGAGCCTAAGGAATGACCCTCTTCCGTCACCCTGGCAATATTTCTGCTCTCCCTGCCCCGACTTGGGCACAAGCTTTTTATTTTCATAGCTTTCCAGCCCAGTGCTCCTACCCAGGAGAGGGCAGTTTCAGGCCAAAGTCCTCCCACATTATGGCCCAGCCCCTGCTTCCTCCCTCAGTGTCCTCTTGGCCATCCTTGTTAGGCTCCCTCCCAGGCCTGGCATCCGAATGGAGGTGAGAAATAGTCACCCACCTCCGTGCTGCTTCCATCCTGCTACTTTTCTAGGAGCCCTTCTGAGTCAATAGCCCCACAGGAACTTGAGGCCAGCTGAGGCATGATGGGTCCCTCTCTTGAAGGATATACAAAAAGAGTCCACATGGAAACATTTTAATGGGTTTTTGAGTTCTGAAGTGCTTTCTACACATCTGCCTGGTGACTGCTGGTTTTGCGTATGCTCATGTTATCAGTGCAGTGCCTTTAATCCCCCCTGTGGAGTACTGGGGTCACCAAGAGCACCCCACCCCCTGGCCTGAGAGGGTATCAAGGGTTTAAGAAACAGACTGGAGGAATGGGCGAGAGGATCGGCTACGTTAGAGGCTCTGAAAGCCGTGGACCCCAACACCACCAATGGAAGGACAAGTCTGGCACAGGTTCAAGGGGGTGGTGCCTATTTGGCCCCAGGCCCAATCCAGCCCAACTCCAGCCCAAGTGACACTGTTAGATCCTGTCCTCACGCTGATCACTGCCTCTTGGCAGTGCTGGGGTGCCTCCTCCCAGTTCCTGTATGGCAGCAGCAGTGGCGGAGGCAGAAGCTGACTTATTTCAGATTGCAGTACAGGTACATGGACACAATCATGGCAGCCAGCTGATGAGAAAGGAACAGGCAGAGAGGAAGAAACATGATCAGGGTCCTTAAGCTTTAGTCCCCTGGCCCCCAGACATTCGACATGAAGCTTTGTTAGAAGTCTCTCTCTTCCAGAAAGGCCTCAGACATGGGTCAGGCAGCCCTGAGCCCATGGGGATATCCTGCCCCAACCTCCTCCCCTCCTTACCTCTAAGCCCCCAATTCCAGCTGCCACACCACCCACGGTAACTGCATTGGTTCTGATGTCGTACAGAAGCTGATCGAAGCAACCCTTGGAGGGGAGAGAGCATCTATAGTCAGCAGCTGCCCCCACTCATTCAGCACTCCGAGGCCATTAAAGCAGCCCAACCTCCCAGGCCAACCTATACCTCTACTTTCTGGTACTGGGCCTCGACACTAGTGCAGGGTTCCACAAATGTGCCATTGTCATGATCAAAGCAACAGTATGGGGGAAAGACGTTGTTCTCTTTTACATAGGGAGAGTCCTCAAAATCTGTGTAGTTGTTGAAGCCACAGCACTTGAGCTGAAGATGAGGAAAAGAGATGGTCAGTGGGGCCTTGCTTATTTCTCCTCTCCCCAAAATCTCCCCCAGCCCACCTTACCCCTTCCATGGTGGAGTTCCACACTTGGGTGAAGTCTTTTTGGGAACCGTACTCTTTCTTGATGGTGGGCACTACCATCAACGTCAGGAAGTTCTCAGCCTGGGTGGGGAAGGTCAGTGTTTAGGGCCTGGTAGGGAGGGTGGCCATTTGCAGTGCTTTGCCCAGTTGCCCTCCCTTGCCCCATCCCCGCTCCTCACCACTGTGGTGTACACCAAGGCAACCACGGCAGCTGCAACCTCAGCAACGAAGATGACGAGGAGGATGAAGAAGAACTGAGTGGAGAACAGGGATCTTGAGTTTTAGGGAGAGACAGTCCCTCATGCATTCCTTGCCCTAACCCACCCCCACATGAAAACAAGTCAGGGGCCTCACTGGCTGAGGCCCCTGGAGTCCAGAGCAGGGCTTGGGGATCCCCAGGGCCTGGTGTCAAGGGTGAGGGACCCTGGGTCTCGGTTACGGGCCTGTGGAGCTGGGTTTGACACACCATGATGAGGGCACACTTGTTCTCAGTCTGGGCACCATAGCAGCCCAGGAAACCAAGAGTGAGGAGCACAGCGCCAGCTGCGATGAGGAGGTAGCCCACGTTGACAAACTGCATGGCACTGGATGATAGTGGCCCGAAGATCTTCATGAAGGATGGTCCGTCGACTGACACCCAGATGCCCACTGCCAACAGGGCCACACCACACAGCTGGAGACAGAGAGGCAGACCTTGAAACAGTGCCATCAAGCAGCTCCCTACCACACAATTGAGTTAGGGAGATGGGAGACGAGAAACTTCCCCTTTATTGACTATGGAGTCTAAAAACTCATCCTGTAGGGAGGAAAAACATCCTTTAGAGCCAGAAAGATGGGAGCTGGAACATCCATAGCCAGCACCAGGCTGCACACCTAGGCAGATATAAATGGAATCAGGGATTCCAGAAATAGCTGAAGGGTGGGGGGAGGGGCAAGGCTTTCCCTCACTGTTGCCAGGGTCATGCCGCATAGCTAGGGGTGAAAAAAGTAGGTGAACATCCCCCCCAGCAGCTTCCCCCTCCCCCCCGGCCCCCCTCTCCATTCCCCGCTCCAGGTGCCTGGAACAACTGTCCTCTGATAGGTGGAAACAGGGGAGTGGGAGCCTTAAGCAGGCTCCACAGTCGCCATAGCAACAGAGGCATAGCTGAGGTTTACACCTGCTCCCAACATTGGAGAGGGCGGTGGTGAGAAGGGATACCCACCCCAAGGCCCCATTTGGCTCCCCTCCATTTGGTCCCCTCCAGAACCAGCGTAGACCTCTCCTTGCCACCCAAGTGGAAACTGAGGCACCAGAGAGGAAGCACAGCCAGAGCTCTTAGAGGCTCTCTGGCTCAACCCCCAGCTCAGAGGGAATCCTGAAGCCTACACTGGGGAGGAGGGCACTGCCCAGTTCCCACAGCTTAGAGCAAAGCCTTGCTGATCCAGAGCTTCAGTGGATAAATCAGCCTGACGCTGCCTAGGTAGGTGTCCAGTCCCTACTTTCCGGCTATGGAAACTGAGGCTAGAACCAGGGGTGAGGTGGCAGATTGTGGGTGGATCCCAGGCATGTTTGCCCAAGGACAGAAAGCTGGGCTTTTAGCCTACAGGGTCAAATTTCAAGGAGTCTGAGGCCTGCCCTGCCCAGTCTGGCGAGGCAAGGGCAACAGAATCAGAAACCAAACCAGATTTGCCTTTAACCCCCTTGGGCCAGAGCCCCTGCTCTCCAAATTCCTGCAATCCTGTTGCCTTCTTCAGATACATGGATAAAGTCTAGTTCCCTGAAACCAGAGGAAGCCCAAGGCACAGACCACATCGGAGTCAGAGTTTACTCACCCCCCAGCCCAATTCCTCCAAATTCATCTATACTTCATGTCTCCATTTCCTCCCCTTTTACTCACTCTAACCCACTCTCATGTGGCTCCAAGGTCTCTGGTGACATGTGCTTAGTCATGGGTGGGTCCTCTTTGACCTCCCTGATACCTCGCTCGCTCTCCTGGTTTGCTTCCTGCTGCTCTTTCTTCATTTGCTTCCTGGTGGCCATTTCCCTGTTTATCCCTTGTAAGCTGAGTTTCCTGGAGTTCACTCTCCCTGAGTGCTCTCACCCCTCCCATGGCTTCAACAACCACCTATGGGCACATGACTTTCAAATATACTGAGCTGCAACCCCACTGGGTACACAGCTGCCTGTGAGATATCCCCCAGGTTGTTCTTGCCAGAGACGTGGTCATCAACTCCAAGATGATGTCTCCCTTGCCCTTTCTTCCATTCCTTAGCCACCATCCAAGGGCTTTGTCCTTTGTCCATTTTGTCCATTTCTGCCCATCTCTAGGGTTCATGCCTCATTGCTCAGCTTCCTCAAACATGCCCTATATAATCTGTTCCTGGTTTTCTGAACAATATCTGATTTCATTGCTTTTGGGCCTTCCTGCATACTTTACCAGCCCCCTCACTCAGTGCAAATTCCTAGCCTCAGCTATTTCCTCCTAGAAGTCTTCTCTGACCAGGCAGGGTTCAAGCCCCTCCTATGGGCCCCTGTGCTAAGACCACATATACTATGTTGAAACTGTCTGCGTATCTGGCCTGCTGGACCTGAGATCCCCAAGGGCAGAGAAAGGGCTTGCTTACCTGTCACCCCAGCACTCAGCACAGAGTCTTAGGCAATGCGTTTGTTGAATGAATAAGGGCTGCTTGCAAGCTGACACTCTGCTCCGATGTCTCTGGACCTTCTGTGCTTTTGGTTCCCCATCATACAGAGGCCACTGAATTTCCTTCCACACTAGGTGACCTTGGGCAAACCCCTTCCCCTCACTGGGGCCCCAGCCTGTTAGCCTACTCTGCCCTGCTGTAAGCCTGCCTGAGCTGAAGCTTCCTGGAAGGGAGAGGATGCCCCTAGCCTTCTCCACCCCAACTGTGTGGCAGCCAGGCTGCTACTGGGACCAGGACTCAGCATCTGGGGAGACCTGCACCTCCTCAACGTGCAGGAAGAGTCTGGGCGTAGCAGTCGTCTCTTCCCCAGTTCGGGCTCTGCTCAGGTTAAGACCTACTCCTATAGGGAGCCCCAAAGAGCCCATAACCCCCACACTTACAAAGATGAGCATATTGAAGAGGATCATCATGGTCTTAATGAATCTGAAGCACTGCATGGTGGCTCCTGGGAGGCAGATGCGTGTGTTAGGACCTTGCTCCCTGCCCCCACCCCCAACCTGGGCTGACATACCAGACTCCAGCATCCTGGACTCATATAATCACCAAGCTTTTCCTGCATCTGGACTCTGACACCTCAGGACTTTCCCCAATTCCCATCCTGATGCTCCTATCCCTCTGTACTGCCCAGGCCCTCTACCAACACCTGGCACTCTGAAATCCTAACAACCCAGGTTCCTCTACTGGCACCCCAAGCCTGACTCCCACGCTACAGTGTCACTCCATGCCCTTCCCTGGCACCTGTGTATCTTGGGCTTTCCACTCCCCCCGAAACCAATCCTAGACTCTTCCAAGACCCTCCCCATGGCCCTTCCAGCTCCCCAAACCTGTTTCCAGATTGATTTCACTTCACGGGATAGTCTCTATCCTATGCCATCACCTGTTCAGGGTTCTTGGTAGTGGGTTCTGAAAGAGGGATCTGCTGAGGCTCCAGAGGGAACTGCAGCTCTGAGGCTCCAGAGGGAACTGCAGCTCCGGGCAACTGCCACTGAGTGGGCAGGCGGGGAGACGGAGCTGGCTCTCACACAGCACTGCTCACCTGTGGGCGGGGCAGGTGCTTTAAAGGCCTCCTTCTGCCCGCCTGCCTACCCCACCCGCAGCCGGTCCGCCTCCTCCAGCACCTGCTGCCCCCCTGCTGCCTGGCGCTCCGTCCTCACAGCCCCAGCCGCCTCGAGGCACGCACATCTGCCCAAGCTGTATATTCACACACACACACACAAACACCTAGTGCTCTCGAATGCACACTCACACACACACACACTCTGAACTGTGTGGACTGACCCAGCAACGATCAACAGAGCAACATCCGAAGTACATACTCTCTCTCTCTCTCTCTCTCTCTCTCTCTCTCTCACACACACACACACACACACACACACACACACACACACGCGCGCGCGCGCGCGCAGGCAAGCCCACACATGCTTTCAAGGCAACGGCCAAGGCTTGGAGTTTTCTGCCCCCTCCCCTGAGTGGCAAACGACTCCTAATCTTCTAGTCTTTTTCTCTCCACAAAACTTCAACCCCACACCACCCTTTTTCTCTCCTCAGTCCCCTCAGCACTCTGCAAACACCCCTTCCATTCCTGCCAGCAGGGGGCACCATGGTCCCACAAAAGCACTGCCCCCGTTCCTCCCCCGACCCCTCCCCACCAAGTTCTACAGCTCGGTAATCCCCATCATCGTCAATCCTTCCGGGGCTGCTGGTCCTGGAGGTCGAGGTGCTGGGAAACTTCTGGCTTTTAAGTCACTCAGACCAAGTGCTCGAATCCTGGTTCTGTTGCTTATTAGCTGTGTGACCCTAGGGGCATTTCTTAGACTTGGGTTTAAGCCTCTGTTTCCTGGTCTGTATAACAGAATAGTTATGGGGTTTTCAAGTGAGATTTAAAATGAGATTTTTCTTCCCATTCTGGGACATAAGGGAATGGCCACAGAGTGAAAAGTTCAGAATAAGGAGAGTCACAGCCAGAGGGGGTGTGGGATGGAAGATTTTTAAATTTGTTTTGTTTTTATAATGGGAGGAGGCAGTTGAAGAGACAGGAGAGAGAGGAAGGCTGTTAACACTAACATTTATACATATCATCTTTTAAATGCATAACTTATATAGTAACACATGCTTTCAAGGCAACGGCCAAGGCTTGGAGTTTTCTGCCCCCTCCCCTGAGTGGCAAACGACTCCTAATCTTCTAGTCTTTTTCTCTCCACAAAACTTCAACCCCACACCACCCTTTTTCTCTCCTCAGTCCCCTCAGCACTCTGCAAACACCCCTTCCATTCCTGCCAGCAGGGGGCACCATGGTCCCACAAAAGCACTGCCCCCGTTCCTCCCCCGACCCCTCCCCACCAAGTTCTACAGCTCGGTAATCCCCATCATCGTCAATCCTTCCGGGGCTGCTGGTCCTGGAGGTCGAGGTGCTGGGAAACTTCTGGCTTTTAAGTCACTCAGACCAAGTGCTCGAATCCTGGTTCTGTTGCTTATTAGCTGTGTGACCCTAGGGGCATTTCTTAGACTTGGGTTTAAGCCTCTGTTTCCTGGTCTGTATAACAGAATAGTTATGGGGTTTTCAAGTGAGATTTAAAATGAGATTTTTCTTCCCATTCTGGGACATAAGGGAATGGCCACAGAGTGAAAAGTTCAGAATAAGGAGAGTCACAGCCAGAGGGGGTGTGGGATGGAAGATTTTTAAATTTGTTTTGTTTTTATAATGGGAGGAGGCAGTTGAAGAGACAGGAGAGAGAGGAAGGCTGTTAACACTAACATTTATACATATCATCTTTTAAATGCATAACTTATATAGTAAGTCTTTTTTCTCCTTTCACAACAATCTTATGAGATAAGACTCTCTTTTCGTCTGCTTTTTAAATATGGGGAAAGAGAGGCACAGAAGGTTAAGTGCACATTTCTGAATGAATGAATGGTTGCAGAATAGCAGGAGTTAAACGTCTGGGCTTTGGGCCTTGCCCATCCCAGATTTGAATCCCTGCCTGCCTCTAATTGTGTGAGCCTAACTGAGCCTCAGTTTCCTTGTACAGTTGATCTTCATTATTCATGGATTTCATATCTGTGAATTTACCCACTCACTAAAAATGATTTAAAACTCCAAACCAATACTCACAGCACTTTTGTGGTCATTCATGGACATGCGCAGAGCTGCAAAAAATTTGAGTTGTCTACCATGCTTGTTCTCAGCTGAGGTTGAACAAGGGGATGCTCTGCCTTCTTGTTTCAGCTCTCACAATGTAAACAAGTGTTCTTTTTGCAGCCTATTTAGTGTCTGTCATGTTTTTTGCATTTTTGTGCTTTTTGTTGGTGACTTTGCTATTAAAGACTCCCTCCAGCGTAGTGCTGAAGTGCTCTCTAGTGTTCCGAAGTGCAAGAAGGCTGTGATGTGCCTTATGAAGAAAATACATGTTAGATAAACTTCATTCAGGCAAACGCTGGCCATTTGTTAGCCGTGAGTTCAATGTTATTGACATCAATATATTTTAAATGAAGTGGCTTTAACAGAAACACAAATAAACTAGGTTATTGTTCAGTTGACAAAATGTTGTGACCAGAGGTTAGTATGAATCTAATCCTGTATTTCTCCTGGGAGCATTGGCTCAGTATTTGCTAATACAGTGTTTGTGGTGACTTTATTAGGGCTAACTACCACGAATAACAAGAATTGACTGTATATGAAATAGGAATCTCCTTGTAGGGTTGTTGTGGGATTAGATGAGATTATGTTTGTAAAGGACTTGGCACTGTGTTTGGCACATAGTAAGTACTCAATAAACATTGTTAATGTTGTTAATGTGGATGAGTGAGAAAATGAGGGAGGGATTTTTTTACTCAGAGGTCTTTTTTTTCCAAGGGGCCAAGCTGAGGTTTTCTGGCTCTTTGGCTGGACCCATGGAGAGAATTGTGAGGGAGCCTGACCCCTAAGGGAGGGGCTGGGGATCAGGACCTGTAATAAAGAGCATCACTCTTACACAGACCCTGTATGTCGTAGAGGCCTCAGCTGCCCTGGCCAGTAGCACCATCAGGCACATGACAGAAGTTCCCTGTGCCCATGGGGCCTTATCAGCTTGTCTGTGCCCCTCAGCCCCAGGGCTTGTTATTTATTTATTTATTTATTATTTATTTTTGACTGCGTTGGGTCTTCGTTGCTGCACAGTTGTGGCGAGCGGGGGCCACTCCCCGTTGCGGTGTGTGGGCCTCTCACTGCGGTGGCCTCTCCTGCTGCGGAGCTCGGGCTCTAGGCACACGGGCTCCAGCAGCTGTGGCATATGGGCTCAGTAGTTGTGGCTCACAGGCTCTAGGCACGCGGGCTTCAGTAGTTGTGGCACACGGGCCCAGCTGCTCCACGGCATGTGGGATCCTCCCCGACCAGGGCTTGAACCCGTGTCCCCTGCATTGGCAGGAGGACTCCCAACCACTGCGCCACCAGGGAAGCCCGGCTCCGGGGCTTAATTTCCCCCTACCAGAGGCCAGGTATGGGCTGGCCTCAGCTCCGATTTCCCAGGATGTTTAAGTGTAGCCACAGAAAGTACCAGCAGAAATCCCAAGGCCCAGCTGCCACCACCGCAGCCACCAATCTTACCACCATGGCCACAGATATCAACGACACCCACACTGCCACCACCAGGGTGTGGATCCTTCCACTGCAAGGTTAGCCGAGGGCCATGAGCCAGGGTGAGGGGTGGGAAAAACGGGGCCACCCAAGTTTTCCCCACATTAGCTCTGTGCAGGCACTGTAGGGGACACACCTTCTGTGAATTATCACCCCAAAGGTATGGCGGGGTCTTGATGGCAGGCATCCCAAAGGCTGACAGCCTTAACGGAGGATGTATTGGCTGGAAGTGGAGGGCCTGGGGAATTGGGAGAATCTAAGAGCAGTGGAGCTTCCAGAACTTCTGCCTTCCTCACACTCTTCCCTCTCCTTCCTCTCCTCAGTACTCAGACAACTTTGTCAACCTGGCAGCTTTCCGATCCTCTAGAAATGCCCAGAAACTAGTTCAGAAGCTTGGCTGGCTCTGGACCTGCATCTCCTAAGGGCCACGGTGGTAAACAGCAGACAAGTAACAATCCTTTCTGCTCCAACTCTTTACTCCACTCCAAGGTGTTTCCAGCTGACTATGTAGGGTATGAGGGCAGGGTTGGGACTGAATGCTCCCAGGGATAGGCTTCAGCGACAGCAGCAGGCCTCACAGTAAGACAGTGGAAGGACAGAACAAGGTCAGCAACACACACCGTCTTTGGCCTCAGCTTTTGATCTGCCCTACGAGGTGGGGGAACTTCCTGCCTTGCACTCCCATCTGCACAGGGAAAAGGATCTCCGGAAACATCTTGGAAGGTATAAGAAGCCAGATCCTTGGAGAGGGAGGTAGAGGCACAGATCAGAAAAGGATAGCATGAAAGACAGATTTCACTGCTCCAGTGTAAACCATGAGTGCCTGAGTGAGAGGTGTATGTGGCTCTGTGTGCCTGTTATGGTCAGTGTTTGTGAGACCAAGAGAATGGGGATCTAAGCAGACATGTGGCT